AAAAAAAAAAAGAGAATATATTTACAATTTAAATCTAAAACTTCTTCTTCTTCTTTTTTAATATCAGGGAATCATGGGAGAGTATGAGATTTTTTTGAGTAATAGGTGGAAATCGAACTTTTACAGACTAAACTCAAATATTAAATCTTAAAAACGAACTATTAGCTCTGAAGACCCAAAAATGAACCATGATCCCGAACACCTGATTCCTAAAACTTCTTCTCTTAAAAATTCCATTGGTTAAAAAATGCATCTTGTTGGTTTTCAAATTTCAAATTTATGTGTATGATGGACCTCCAATTAAGTACAGCCAAAAAGATTAACGCCCAAATCAAGCAAACCAATTCTAAAAAATATACAATCGTAGGCATGTGACGTGACCACTGACCAATCTAATTAAATTTCTACTGGTTTACATTACATGAACTTTTTGGATTACATTGGTTATAATGGGCATCGAATAAGTAGCCAAAGAGATTAGGGTTGTCTTGTGGCGTAATTAACTGATTTATTACGTATTAGGTATTACGTGTTACATATAATCTAACGATCTAGAAGGACGGCCAAACTGTTATATTAAATTTTTGAGTGAAAATAAAATATTTTAAATACAAGTCATATGATATATAAATCAAGTGAATTAAAAAATATAAATAATTTATTTTTTTGTACAACTTAAAATAAAAAAAATACTTATGTACTTAATTAATTAATAATTTTGCTCTCGGCCTTCTCCCTCCCATTAAAAAAACCCCAATCCCTATTTCTTCAGATTCTCTGGGCCACAGGCTTTCTTGACATGCTTTGTAGGTTATGAGATTTATACAATCGTTTTGCTTTCAAATTTTTTAAATTTTTTTAAAGACTTTTAATAAAGATGTTTATCCCCTTTAATTTTTAATAGAAGTTTTACTATAGTTAATTAGTTTATATAATGTATAGTGTTTATTGGCCATCTATGAGTCCATGACATTAGATTTAAGGATAGTTTTTAAGTAGATCTAAAAGACATAATACGAGAATAAGCTAATCTTCTCAATTAATCTCCTCAATTAGTTGTTAAGGTTGATATATGAAGAGATTGTATAGGGTTGGGACTTGGGATTCTTAGAACATATTTGGTGAAACTTGTTAGAGTTTTCATTTTTCTTTTTTGTACTGTTTATGAGTGATAAATTTAAATTTTGATTGGAAGAAAAATTTAAAAGTTATTTTTAGAAATTGAAAAAAGTGAGTAAAAATAAAATTTATAAAAAACACAAATTTAAAATTTTTAAAATTTACTGTTTAAGATCTTTTTTAAATTAAAAATAAGTTAAAAAATGTAAATTTTTAATAAGAAAATTTAAAGTTATGAAACATGAATAGTGTCAAAAAGCTGAAACTCTTACAAACTTCATCAAACATACCCTTATTATGTTTTTTTGTTATTTTTTCGTATTATGTAAAAATTTAATAGTAATGGATTTAAGTGGGATTGGATATGGTATGATATATTTTCCCTTTGTAAAATCTTTTTATATAAGTTGTTTAAAAATTTTATATTATGAATGAAACTCGTATTTACCTATAAAAAATTAATTAATTAATTAATTCATTAATAAAAATGGAAATTTGGAAGGAAGCCTGGCAAGATGATCAAATTAAGGTTTAATTTGGGAGTGTTGCCTTGTAACTTTAATGGTATATTCTTTAATCTTTTAATATCATAAAAATGTATGACATATTAATTAAAATTACTAAAAATATAGAAAATATTAATTACAATTAATTATTTATAATATATTTACATTTTTAGATACAATACTATAGAAAAAAGTGCTGTTGTACAGCATAACCGAACCAAACCAAATTCACACTATTTTTGTTAGGTCCGTAATCGACTCACACATTAGTATATGTTACACTTCAATTTTATATAACTCAAATTCTTAAATTTTGAGAAATCCGTAGAACAAATGGTTACTTTCCACATGGAGCTTCTCATTAGACTTGGATTCAAGTCTCTTTTTTTTTTCTCCAAATAACCCCCAACATGTAATTATGTTTTTAAAAAAAATCTTAAATTTCTAATTTTTTATTATAAATAATGAGGAGCTCTATGAACAAGTTGGTCCCTCTCCATTTCCAATTTCAAGAAGCTCTAACGAGCTTCCCAAAACAGTTAGAGCTGTTTTCAATATTATTACCCTTGTTTGGTTCGGGCTCGTTCTTTTACACTCGAGAAGACCTTTTTATGCAGTTGCACCGTAGACACCCTTGGACTTATCATATATATACAAGAGCAACCGAACAGTGTCGGATCAAATTCAATGAATGAATATTTATTCAGAAGTCAAAGTACATTTCTAGAAACTTAAAATAAACAAAAACAGAGAAATATAATTTGTACATGACAAACTTATTTATTGAAGGAGTTTAGCGGACCTCTAATATCAGCAATATAAGCCTCCATCAATAGTTAAAAATAATACGGTCCGCTAGCAAGTATTCTCTACTATAAATCACAAGAAACATATATTGACTATGAGCAGTGCTACCAGAATAACTCAATCCGCTGAGTCTGGTGATCCATCGGAAAATGTCCCTGGTTGTAGTTTATCTGAAGCCTGAGCTAAGCCCAGGACCACTTCTTTCTTGTCGTCCCTTGATTCACAGATGCTGTTGACGCAATTCGCAGCTGATTTCAGGACAGTCTTGATGATCTTGATCTTTATTTGGCCTCTCTTTGGAGGGAGGAGAATCTGGTTTTGCTTCTTGGGTGGACCTGAAACATTAAGTTCCATTTCTTTGATACGAATACTCAAGGGTTTGCAACTGCAGAGTACTTACTGAAACAGACGAATAGCCCCAGAGAAAAACAAAGTTCCTCTGCTTTTGGGAATTGTGGAAAACCTGGTAGGGAAATAAAGAAGCGGAAGAGACAAACAGAGGAGAAGCAGAGTAACAGAGCAATAATAATAATAATACAAACAGAGTAAGAAGCTGAAAAGCCGTTAATCGGATCCTAGTTTGTCTCGAGGAACTGAAATAAAGACAATTTCTTTCCCGATTGAATAGAAAAATGATGAAATGGGGTCAGATATTATGGAGAGAAATTAAGAAATTGAGACCTTTTTATATAGGAGCAGAAGAGAAACAGAGGAGGAATGCAAGGCAGAGCAGAGTGCAAATTTATTCTCACTATGCTCTTTTCTTACTCCCCTTAAAGCTTGAGTGAAACTAGAAATTTAGCCTGGGGTTTGAAGGTATATAAAGGGCAGAGACACACTGTCTTACTTGGTTAGCCAAGTTTGTGCATTCTCATTAGCTCGGTTAAGTTAATACATGTATAACTTTTTATCCATTATACCCCTAAAAATTAAAAGAAAAATATTTAAAAAAAAAACAGCCTATTTTTATTTTAAAATTTTCTTACATAAACCCTTTTTTAAATTAAGATCATTAAAAAGGTAATTTTGTGATGTTTTACTCAATAATTTTTTATAAGTCCAGCATATAAATACTCATGTATACACATATATATACATATAGAGGCTAAAAGGACTTGTCAGCCCTCAAACTCATAGTTTGTGGAATATTTGCCCCTAAATTTGTTTCTTGTGGAAGATCGGCCTTTAAACTTTTGCGGTAATGGAAAATCACTCATTTTCCTTGGGTTGTCATCACTTTCCATCCAAAACTAACTAATCCTAGGTGTACGAGGGGCCCACAGCTACGAAAGATATCGACTTGTGATGTTGAATTTCGAGCTTCGCTGGAAAGCTGTGAGTGGTAAGTTGTGAGCTTGAATGAGAAGAAAACTAAATTTGTGTGGGTACGAAGAAATAAATGTGTAAAGGTGAGCCGTGAGCGCTTAGATTTGGCAATATCATTCTCAATTTAAATATCATATTCAACTCATTCATTATGAGGTCGGTCACGATTCTAATTTATTGATTCAAAATTTAATATAATTTATATTAAAATCGTCTAGATTTGATTGAATTGGTTTAAAATTAAATTGGATCAATAATTAAAATTAATTAATCTTTTTTAAATTTTAATAAATTACATTTTTAATTCTAATTTTGAAATATAAAATAAAATTAAATATTGTAAAGTTATTATTTATTAAATTATTATAATTAATATTAATTTAACAAAATTTTTTACTAAATAATTAATAAATATTAAAATTTTTAAATAAAATTAGAGGAAATACTAAAAACTTCTAATTTTTTTAAAAGTTGGATCTACTCAACTCAATTTAAAATTTGTATAAGTGGATTTTGGATTTACCTCATTTAATTTGAAATTTGAGCCAACGAACTAAGTAACTTAGTGATAATTTATTTTCGTTATAAGTAAAAGATCCTGAATTCGAACTATATGGTATGTAAATAAAGTGGAATAAAAGATGAGAGATGGTTGTCTTTTATTGTGCAGTTAAGATAAAAAAAATAAAATAAAATTTGAAACAACCAAATCCAATAAATTTAGAATCCAAGATGACTCAATCTAAACCTATTCAATTTGACCTATTTATCAAATCTAAGAGTGTCTAAATTAACATATGCAACGCTCTAAGTCAAGTTGGATTCCCAGAAGACAGGTTTTGAGCAAAAGAGAGGAAGAAGCAAAAGGGAATTTGAAATTTGAATCTATCTTAGGATATGACATTTTAGTATGACTTAAGTCCACCTAGATCACTAATTTCGTGGTACATATAGCTTGCATATTTGATAATATCAACGTGATAGTTGATGAGGCCAACATGGCATCCATTAGATGGTTAATTACAATAATTAATGAATTAAACAAAATAAATATAAAAATTAAATAAAAAAAACCATTGCAATTAAACTACTAATTAATTAAATTAAATTAATATGAAAAGGTTAAACCTATTAAAGTTGATTTTTCAAGTTTGAATCTCTTTAATATTATTTTAAATACAAACAAATTTAATATATCACACCCATTACTTTTAAAGGTGGTATTTTATCTAACACTTAAGAATAAGATGATTTACAAATATATGAAATTAGTTAAATTAAACGGCTAAATAGCTATGTTATCCAACAAAAATATATAAAAAAATTGAATAAAAATAAGAAAACCCATCAACCTTCTCCGTTGACATGTTAGTTGATGTGGCTGACATGGTCGTTAGTTATTTTTTTTTTTCAAAGAGATGGCCTCTACTTTTTTTAGTTTATTATTCCAATTTAATTTAATTATTTGTTGTTGGCCAAAAAAATTCAACCATTTTCTAAATGTTAAATACTAATTTTAGTTCTTCAACTTTAAGGTTTTACATAATTTTCATCTCTCAACTTTTTTATACATTTTTTTTGTTTCTTAACTATGAAAAATGCTCTTTCGTCAGTTAATCTGTTAAATTTATTTAAATTTGCATATTTTTTGTCGCTCAACTTTTAATATATACATATTTTTATCCCTCAACTTTAAGTTAAGGGACTAAAAATATGCATATTTAGACAAATTTAACAAACTAATTAATAAAAAACTAAAAAAATATATTTTTTATAGTCGATAGGCCTAAAAAATGCATAAAAAAGTTAAAAGATAAAAATTACACAAAATCTTAAAGTTGAGAGACCAAAATTGGCATTTATCCTTTTCTAAAACATGACATGTCAGCATTTTAGTGCCGAGTGCCAAGTGATGCCCACATAAGCCTTCTGCATTCCCTCGTCATGTCCGGGTCATCTAAGGAACACAAAATTGGCAAAAACTTACTTTTAGTTCCTTACCTTAGCAAGTTTGAAGGTTTTACCCATTTATTTTATATTATAACACTTTTAACCCTTTACTTTACTAGATTTGTAAGTCTTAGTCTCTCACCTATTAAAATCGAAAAAAATAACCCTCACTTTACACTGACTATTAATTCTATTAGTTTAAAGTAAGTTTTTGTCAATTAACCGTCAACTAATAATCAGTTAACAGAATGAACAAAACATTATAAAATTAGTTTTGTTAACTATGTTAATTAGAAGAAAGTTTTTGTCAGCTAACAGTAAATTAACATAACTAACAAAATATTATAAAGTGATGGTTATTTTATTCAATTTTAATAAATGAGGGGTTAAAAGTGTCATAATATGAGATGATAAGTTAAAATTTACAAATTTAATAAAATGAGGAACTAAAAGTGTCATAATAAAGGTGAAAGGTTAAAACCTTCAAACTTATTAAGATAAGGGGGCTAAAAGTAGGTTTTTGCCCACAAAATTCGGGTGCCGTTAAATTTTAACAAAAAGATAATGTCATTTCATCAAGGAGGGATGAATTTCTACAATGGACAAATTTGAGGGTTTATTTTCCACAAGAAAAAGTTTAGGGGTAAATAATCCACAAGTAATGAGTTTGAGGGCTGTTAAGCCCTGTTCTTCATATAGGGATTGATGAAATCAGTAAAGCTAAAAATTAAAATGTCAGAATTGATATTGAAAAAAATTTAAAAATCTATAATGAATTACATACAACAAAATTTATTTAAAATATTTAAGTAATTTTATAAGAAATCTTGATATTTAAAATATATATATAAATTTTGCACACCACATCTACATAAAATCTCAATAACTCATCTCTCCACTTTTAATATATGTGAAATGAGATTTGTTCATATTTATTAAAAATAATTATTTTTTATCTAAAAAGTTATGACAAATCTCAGCTATTAAAAATAATGAGATGAATGGTTAAAATTTTATATAAGTATAGTATGTGTGATTTATGTATAAATAGATGTTTTCTCATATATATATATATATACATATATTCCTTCTTACTTGACTTAATATTCGAATTTAAGATTTTTAATTTAAAATTTTAGGTTTTAACTAGTTGAACCACTCTTTAAAAGTCTTTTTTATATTATTTTATTAATAATATTTTAAGAGTAATGACAAGGAAGATGAACATTTGAAATGAAATTTAGAACCAATGATATGATTTGTATTACATTATTAATGCATACAATATTGTGAGTTAAAAAAAAAAAAAGAGTTAATCATTAAATAATATAAGATTTACTTTTTATTATTTTAAATGATATAAATTATATCATGTCATCAATTTTAAATTTTAGTTTTATTTAATTATCATTCTTTATATTTTAACAATTTCTAACATGTACTTTTAATATTGAATGCACTCTAAATATATATATATATATATATTGGAAATAAACACAGGACCAAATAAGAGGAAGATCGCATCTCATAAATTAATTATTTAATATTTTAATAATAATTAAAATACAGGTCATGACTTGTCATGTTAAAAATTCTCCATCCCTTTACCCCAAATTTTACTTGTTCAAAATGAAAAAAAAAAAATAAAAATGGGAAGAGGGGAAATCATTTTGGGAGTTGGATCCAGTGCATGAGGGATGTCCTACAAGATTCAATTCCAGTCCAGCTGCGAGATTCTGTGATTATAATAGAGCCAAATTAAGAAGTACAAAAAAAATGAGAAACCAAAAGTCAAGTAAATGGGATAAGCATGAAGCTAGAATAACGTATTTAATAGTCAAATTTCAAGGCAATTCAATGTGTGGTTTTAATAATTTTCAAAAGAAGTAGTAGCTTAATTTATCACCTGTGCTTGAATAGACTAAGTCTTGAGGTTTAGTAGAAATCCTTCAAGCTAGTAGATATTAAGGATTTAAACTTCTTTATTTTAAAAACCAGTCCTTTAGGGTATATTTTTTCCTGTTAAAAAAATAAAACATTTTTATTTAAAAATACAGTCTTTTTTAAACTTATTTTAAATTACATAGTCATTCACTAATCACAATGAGTAATTTAAAGCTTAATAAAATACTGTTCTTGTAATCTTTCTGCTCTCTTAATTCTGTTTCTGTCCCGTTTTATAATGGAAGAATCCATTCCAAAATCCTCACCATAGAAAAAAATTTTCATTTTGTGCTATTTCCTTGAATGCACTAAGAATAAACTAAGGTCCATTCGGTGCAGCTCCATTCGTGCAGTTTTTCAAGTGCTTTAACTTTTTTATACTATTTATATTTTATAAATTAAAATTTTTCTCTTAAAATCTTATATTTTTAAATATTTTTTAACTTTAAAAAGAATATAAACAGTAAAAGATCAAAAGTTTCAAATTCAAACTTTTCATAAATTTCTTTTTACTCACTTTTTACTATCTTTAAAAACAACTTTTAAATTTTTCTTCCAATAAAAATGTAACTTATCACCCATAAACAACATAAAAAAATAAAAATAAAAACTCCAACAAACTGCCACTTGGATGGCAGGGCAGGGAATATTCTGAAGGAAAACAATTTCAGTGATTTTTCTAGAAGCATTACTTGCAAAACAATTATTGAAATTGAATTACAAGCAACAAAAGTAAATAATAATAATAAGGGATGACATCATCATGTCAACTAAGAGCTCTTACGCAAGGGAATTAACAAGGCTTCTCCATGAGCCCTCTTCCTAAGAAAAAAAAATCCAAGTTTGCAGTGAGATTGTAACAACTAAACTCATTATTGATAAAATTCATTTTGGTCTACTGAGTTTCACAATTTTAAAGAAGTAAATAAAAATTAATAGTATTAATTTGTATGTCTAATATCTCTCCCCCATACCTTACCAATTGGAAAAGGCTTTGTGGGTGTAAGATTTTTCTATAAATGTCATGTAAATAAACATAAGTCATGGGATGACTTGAATCCACTGGGGTGAAAATTGGGTTCTTTTAGACAGAAAAGCCCTGTATTTTTTTTTTTTTCAAGAGATACAGGGGAGGTTTCATCGTGCTTCCTAGACTTTTTCTTTCTCAATGTTTTCTAGCCAAGTTCGACACTGAAATTGTGTGTCTGTGTTTTTTTTTTCCTTTCCTTTTCAAAAAGTGTACGATATATCTTGAAAGAATCATGGGAACGTTCAAAGCTAATACAGTCAAAGCAAGAAAAGATCATTTAAGAAAAAAAAAAGAAAAAAGAAAGACGAGCAGAAACAGAGAAAATAGAAAAAAAATATATATATCATATTACTCATCTTTCTTCATAAAAACTCCACAATTTTACAGGGTTTGTTCATGATTTTTCTTGATGATGAAGAACAAGAAGTAAACACAGAACAAATTACACACAAAAATGCGGAGGAAAAATTAGCCAAAACTGAATAGTTAAATTACAATACCCTCCCTCAATCCATTCTATTAAGTTTTCTTCTATAAGGATTAGAAGGGGAAGAAAAAAAGACCAAAAAAATTTTAAAGGAGAAGTACGAAAATTGGTGCCATAATAAAACAATGAACACGCTCCAGGATCATAAAAAATGACTCAACTCAGTAAGTCAAAGAACCATCCGAGGGGTTCCCACTTGGACTTGCAGCTGTGGTTGTGCAGCCCGAACTGAGTCTGCTTCCCTTTTCTCTGCCCTTATTTCTTCCTTTCTTTGTGGCCATGGATGCGAGGGTCGTGACTAATCGGAACAGGCACTTGATTATTCTGATCTTGATCTGACCTCTCTTTGGTGGTAATGTTTGTTTCCGTGGATTCACCGGTGTAGAAGATGGAGAACCCATTTCTCTACAAGGTGAATAGAACATTTTGAGAAAACAGAGGAAGCAGAGGAGTTTTAGAAGAGAAGCTTGAGGGATCCAGTTAAGCAGAAGAAACAGGGGAGAAACAGGGAATTATAGAAGAGAAGCTATGGGGTTTAAGTGAAGCAGGAAGACAGTAGGGGTACATATGTAGGGCCTTTGGGATCTGGGGATGGATTATTGGATTCAGTTCCTTGGGGACCAAGAATTGATGGTTTTGACAAGGTAAAATCAGGTGGTCCCGTACCCATCAGAACTAGCGTATTGTTTAAATTCATTTTTTCAGCTTTTTTTTTTTTTTTTAAGTCTGTTTTCAGATTTTATTATGTGGTCAGAAAGAAATAATAAATTTTCTATCTCTTATGAGTAAACAAACAGCTGCAAATGAATCAGAAAGTCAATTATGTTCCAATTGGTCAATATACAAATTGCACATTTTTTTTTTCTTTCCCTTTGCTTCTCAATTGTCCATTTGTGTGTCAAGATTTCAATCAAGAAGTTTTCAAGTTCACACATACCATATGTCAACCATGTTCATGGCCAAGTGAAAAGGGCTTAATGGTGGGGTATTTCTGTCTTCATTTTGATTCTGACCACTAACATTACTTCTTCATCTCCTTACATGTAGTTGTAATGTATAATTGTCTTATTCAAAAAATACATACCATAGTGTTTATAAAACATGGTAAAAACCCAATTAAATGAGGTTGATTTATCTGCTAATTTAAGTCACCCATGGCTCAAATACTCTTAATTGCCATACCCTTTTGCTAGAATATTCTTAATTATCTCTTTATTTATACATGTCCATTCCACCTGAATAATTATAACGCTACTTTAACATATCTTAACTATGTTGGGATCATTAACAAATTGTTTAAAGCGAAAAAGTCTCAAGTAATTATTGTCTGGTGAGCTTCTTATGCCCTCCTTTTAGTCCACGCGCAAGCAAAAAGAGCGTAAAAAATACGCATGAAACAAATCCCAACTTCAATAAAAAGGAATGGTTAAACCTCCAATTTGACCCCTCAATTATTATATAGATCTTTAATTTGGTCTCTAAACTAAAAGAATCTTTGATTTGATCCACGAACTATTATATGGACCCCCAATTTGGTCACTACTATTTACCAATTTACCCCAAGTTGATCCTTTCGTACAAAAAACAATTGACGTGTCTATTACTTAACAATGAAAAAGAGAAACTTAATAACAAAAAATAATAACTTAACGGTAACGTGTTACGTTAGTAATAAGATACATCAGTTGGTTTCTGTATAAAAGGATCAACTTAGGATAAATTGGTAAACAATATGGACCAAATCAAGGGTCCGTATAATATTTAGGGACCAAATCAAGATTTTTTTAGTTTATGGACCAAATCAGAGGTTCATATAATAGTTTAGGGATCAAATTAAAAATTTAATCAAAAGAAATTATGTTGTGTTGTTTTAATCCAATCATGTTTGTGGCAGCTAACTTAGTAAGAACTAAGAACCCTGCAATTTTAATGGTTTTTTTCTTAAAAAAAAAAAAAATCTACTTAGGATGAGGAAAAGTAGGCATTGCTCATATATTCCAAATCCGTGTGGGACATAAGGATCTACCGCGTTTAGCATAATTTTCATTTGATTTGGAACACACAAAAGGATGAAAACTAAGCCGCTATCAAAAGGGTATGATTCATGCAGTTCGGATTTGCTTTTTGTGTATTCCGATCTTCCAAGTTAGTAGTTTGTTTTTATGTTCCTTCTCCTGTCGGAACTAAGCTGTCGTCCATCTTAATTGTGGACTCAAAACCATTTCCAAAACCAAATTAACATGCATGTGATAAATTCAGATTGTTGCTTTGAAGAGAGCCGTATCATGCCTATGGCCCCCAAAGGTCCACACGGAAGAGCAGTTATCACTGCAGTCTACATGGGAGAGTTAAAAGACCAGAAAAAAACTTGGAAAGGAGTTGTCATTCCCATGACATGAGCCTATGCTAAAAGCCTAAAAGAACCATCAATTAATGTTACGCGCCACGGCCAAAAAGAAAAAGGAATGTTACGCGTTTAGGAGAATTGACACTATCGAATATTCTTATTTTTTTGATGGGACACCTTCAAATTTTCTTATCTTATATTAATTATATATAAAATTGTTATAACAAAAAATTTCTTCTTAAAATTCATAAATAAATATTCATTAGATTTTAAAAAATTCATTAATAGATCTATAACTACTCAATGAGTTAAATATTCAATTAATCATAAAAATTAATAGAATAAGAAACAAATCTAAAGTATTATATTATATAGGGCCTGTTTGGTATAGC